TTAAAACATAGAGTGACGTAAACAAATCAAACTTTCATAAATGTATACAAACCTCAATCTTAACCATTAAATTCATCTGAATGTTTTATGCCAGTTCGCTCATCCAGGTGAGGTCAACAATATATGCACGAAATTAAGTGTGTGTGAGTTAAAAGTTAATTTTTCTGGCCTTCTCTCCGGTAAAGTGATTAATCATAGTGTCAAAGTTCACAGGGCAAGTGATCCCAGATCTGCCAGACTGTCTTGGGCAATGATGGAACGTAGATTATTTCTAATCAGCTTCAACTTGGTTAAAGATAATTCCCATTCTGCAACAGTAACTGGAATTGTGCAGAAAATGCGATGGGTTACACATTAGTTTAGGGGAAGCGCCTGAATTCGACTAAGTCACTAGTTTAAAAAAATAGCTCAGCATTAATTGACTAGACTTTTTTATGCCCTCTCAAAGGCCCCATCGGGATCGTGAGCCCCATTCTCTCTGTGTATGTGCCTACTTGCATAAGCATTCCAACAAACATATTTTATGGGCTAAGCATGGCACAGTGGTTATCGTGCCGAACTGTGGACCTATGGATCCAATGTTCAAATCCCGTTATAGTAAACAAAGAAAAAATCACGCATCGCTCTTTAGAAACCGTGGGAGCATTATATGGGTAACGGTCAAATGCCACTGTTTGGTAAAACAAGAGTAGTTCAAAGTTGACGGAGGGTGCTGTTGACTAGCTACCATCCTTCTAGTCTGTCAGTTCAAAATTAGGCACAGCTGGCGCAGATAGTCCATGAGTAGCTTTGTGTGAATATCCAAAAACATATTTCATAATTTTGAATGACAGTGGACATTTCATGTTACTAATAATTAATGTTGAAAAGTTTGGTTTTTAATAATCTAATATACATTTCAGATACGAACACAAGACTCTGGAATTTCTTTAGAATTTAGAAAATATGTGAATAAAGATAAAACTCCGTTCTTTGTGGGATATACACGATCATCTCCGAGATAAATTTTTGTATTCGTTTTGTTTTACCTGGGAACCCCGAATTAGCCTTAATGTTTATGTGGAAACGATTAATATTGTGCCTCGGTGACAATGATTGATGACCTTGTAAAAACTTGGATTTTTTTAAGCGAGTATGATTTAAACTACAATAAATCGACCTGCTACGGAATTTGGGCAAGTATGCAAATCGTGGCAGACCTTTTCATGAAAAAAAATTGGAAAAGAAATGATTAATTTCTTTCTTACAATATGGTGTAGAAAATTGTTCGCGTACCCTCTGGTAGATTTTTCATTAAACTGTACCAAAATGAAGGAGTCGCTGTTTATCACTCCGTACGCTTTCATATGTTATAGAAAAGCAATATAAGAATACTTAAGCCCTTGTGATTTTGTTTAGTTTTAATTGATTTTCGTTTCGAGTCTTCAAGACCACTATTTATTATAACCACTATCTTATTTCAATGTTTGATAGAGTATTTTTTTTTCAATCTACACTTGCAAAAGTAAAAAAAAAAAAATTGTCCGCGAACTACTCCATGGTCTTTGTACCAATATCAACCAAATTTGGTAAGATTATACATTGGACCAAGAAGCATGTCATAGGGTGGTTATTATCCGGCCCCACATATCTTTGGCCACGCCCACAGCTACCGTTTGTTTAGCTAATGACTCAACAGTCTTGGACCAATTTGTATTACTAAAATTTTTCGAGTTTCTTTGATTTTTTTTCTTGGAAATTTGAGTTTTTTTCATTAAAAATGTGAAACATCCACATTTTTGCCAGGAAAAAATGCCCTTAAAGTGACAGAACTACACCTGAGTTTCATGAGTAAGATCACCAAGAAATATCTTTATTTTAGCCCAGGAAGGAGGAAGAGCTTCTAATGTGGTGTATCAAGAAACATTCAGAGTATCAACAAACAATGAGGCTGTAGAAAAGGATTAGTAAAAGCAAAGTAATTGTAACACCATTTCTGTAAAGTGAAAGAAAGTAATTGTAAAGTAAATTATGTGTGAAATAAATTACGCATGTAAATACAAATTCTTCATTTAATTTATTAGCTCAAGCCCTACATTAAATCCTTATACCCCTGGACGTAGGACGGGTGCCTCAACCTGTTTATTATATTTTGGAATCCAACAACACAGTAATTCGTACATCTATAATAATTTTTCAGTTTGGTAATTGTTTTGTCCTCGGAATCACTTCTAATTTATTAGCGAGTGAATTATTGTTGAACATCACATATAATATGATTTTCATGCATCCGACAACACTCACTGTGATCCCTTTGTGGTCACGTGTATTCTAATTTATTTTGGTGTGAAGTCTGCGGTCGTTTAATAGTTTCTAATAAATTTCGTGTATTCGACAATTTTCATTTACTTTTTTATACGAAGCCTAAATTAAAGACATTGTACATAACAATTCATAGTCCATTCCCTCCTTTTTTTTCTAATGCTGTTTAATTTCGCTCTTCCAGGGTTGAAATCCCTCTTACGCAGTTTCCAGTATTGATGTTTTTATTTTATTTCTTTTTAAGTGACCTCTCACAGTTACCCTTACAAACAGGAGCTATGTTTGCTTTTGTTTCCTAATGTGAATTCTAGGAATGAAAAGAGATTAGTCAAAGTCCTATTTATTGGACTCCAAGTCACAGCTGGGTCTAGTGGTGACAAATGTGGGGAAAATTATCGACTAACAACTAAAGCGTTGTTGCCCAGTTCAAACGTGTGTACCCAAACCAGTAGATGGCATAGGCCTTTGTTAGGTAGAGGCAGCTGGAGGGGTGTTTGTTCTGTAACCTCCCCACCGATGAAATCTAGTTTGGAAGATGGGAGTTGTACACAATCTAGCGTCGGATAACTCAGACGATAATTTTTGTAATTTTATTCATGTGCTATATGTGACAATTTATCAGGTCCTGGGAACGATTTAAAACTACGATAGAGCCAGGTTTCCATGTAATATATTCTTAACTTGAAACTATGAGCATAGCTCGTGGTTCTAAATTAGGTTTAAAAGGACGCAGACGTTTGGGAAGAGTTAAAGCTTAGAACATCATTATAAATAATAATTAATATTCCGATCAGAGCAAGTTACTTACTTACTCAGATCAAAAATAAAAATCGATATGAATCCGGTAATAAGTATAACTAATTAAATATATACAGAGATTAGAATGCATTGTTTCATCAACTGGGTTAATAGTTCGGTTAATAATTATATAATTTGTCAAGAGCTATCGTTCATTTTCAGTTGAGATTTAGAAGTGAGAATAAAATAGTTTATGCATTATAGCATATTTTAGATTGCGCAGAAAACAGTAAAATAAAAATGCTAAAGTTCATTTTGTTTTAATGTCATTTCTGGTAAAGGTAAAGCTTGTTGCTTATCTCTTCCGACACTCAGAATATTCTGAAATGTGTACTGAATTCAAATCTCCTAACTCAAAAAAAAAATACGATGAAACGAAATGACAGATTATTTATAAATTTTCTGAACAACTTTCAGACACGTGGATGCGATAACAACGGAACCTTTCATTTTAATTGTAAAATATATTAGCTTGTCTGAGGACATAAACGGCTACGACTTTTCTCTTTGTAGCTGTTGTGCAGGGTCACTAATAATAGCCTGTTTATAAGTTAATTTGCTTAAATACTTCAATAAAAACACTTAGAAAATTTTGTGCCTGTTACTTTAAATAAGTGTGACATCTTGTATTCTGTAAAGTTGCTTATATTACCCCCTTGTTGAACCTTAGAATTCATGATGGAGCCCATAATCCCACTGACTTTTTGAACACGTTAATGAAATATTTATGCGCCAAATTGCTTGTGTGTCCTCGACTCCATTGGCTACACGGGGCGTAGTAACAATTGAGTCACACACACACCCAAACAAAAACACCAGCAGTGTTAAAATTCATCCTACTAATTACTGATGGACCCTTTATGTACATCTTACACAGAAATTTTCACCCAATTGTTGTAGTCAGTTCCTTAGGCTGAGTATTATAACAGGTAAAAACATTAAATACTCAATATGATTCAATGTGTGGAGTCCACCGATGATTAACGATATAAAAACAAATCACCAATTTGAGAATAAAACTTAAGATCCACAAATGTACTTCTACACAGAGCCAGGAGTTCATTAGTGGTTAGTTTGTAAGGGTTTGAAGGGTCCAAGAATCGAGACGTGATGCCACTGAAAATGTTCCGCACTTTCAGCGCTGGACAACACATTATAAAAGTGAGTTTTTCAATTTAAAGAGTCAGATAAAGCCCTTATGATGGCGGTTGCTGCTGTCTGGCTGCCTTCTCTCAGGTCAATAGTTCAAAATTCTGAACGTATAGGCATGAATTCTAACATGGCCGTATAGCTCACATGCGCATAAGATGCTTTTTAGGTTAAATTTCAGTTTCGACTCTTGCATCTCATATCTTTACAATATTATTAAACGTTTTATATATACAGGTTATTTGAAGTTAACATCATGAGCACAAAAAAAAGACATTTAACAAGCTGTCACAGTAAGGTGTAATACTTAAACGACACAAAAGCTATAGTGTTTTTAGTAATTAAATACGCTGACGTTATTTATTTTTAATTTACTTAGCCACAGTACATAAAGTTAACATGGTTGTATGAGAAGATATGCCCATCAACTTAACAACTCAAATTAAGGGAATCGCATTTTATTTAATTATTTATAACAGTATTACTTTAAAATATTTTTAACCTTTTGTATTGAAACACCATTATTTCAAGAATATGACTATTGAAGTAAAGATGTCGATTTGTAGTCATTTCGTCTTCAGACTGGTTTTTCTACTTGTTTACACCTTTGGTCAGTTGATCTCACATTATTTGACGTTAAGTGGCAGCAATATTTAGACACTATATGTAATAATGTTAGTTATGTCTATAAAAGAAAAATAAGATGTATACTTTTTGTTATAACTTAATAAAAGAAATTTCCTCTTCTGCAGGTGTTAAGAAAAGCTGGATCGAGAGTACAATGTGAATACTTTAACTGACGATTTTCTAAAGAAGCATCTTCGAACGGAAGAAGTTACGAGCTAGCTGTCCTCTCCTCATGACAAGTAGAAATACAGTGATCCTCGTTTACATAAACAAACATTTCATTGAAATCTTTCAAGAAAGAAAATTAAGAAGCGATCTGAGACTGCCTGGATGTTGTGTTCTTGCCTTTGGTTAATCCTAGGTCGACTGGTTGAAGAAGAAATATATCGATTCTGACACGTGCACGAGAATACCTGACATATTCCTTTATCCCCAAGCAACAGACTGTATAATTGACGTCGCGACGAATTTGAGTGGAAGTGTAAAGAACCAACATTTGTCGTGAAACAAAGAAAGTGATGACGTAAATGGCTCTGCTCACTATGCAATCCAATCGTGTATTTCGTTTCTGGTGGGCATTGCTAACATCTTTCTTAAGCCTATATAATACGTTTGTCTTAGCAGATATAGATACAACTTTGTATGACTCTCGGAAAATGCCATCTGATTCTTTTTCGCATTCGGAGTTGATAAATTTCGAAGGAAGCGGTGTTCAAGAATATAACTATAATGGAGAAGATCCTTCAACCTCATCAGGATCTTTCCTTGATTCTTGGAATATGGAAAGACTTGAACAAGCACTCGCTACGATACTTGCCAAGTTCTCCTCCGCCGACTCAGCATCAAAAGAAACAAGTGAGCATGAAGTTGAGTCATCCTTTATTGACCTTAGAAATGAAGACTTTATAGAAAACCAAACCAAACCTGTTGTAATATCTTTAGAGCCTCCAACGCAGCAATCTACTGTAGATAGTGAACTTACCTCCTTTGATCAACAAAACTTCTCCAAGGATGATGATGTTGGCTCATCTCCTGGCGTTTACGACTTTTCTGAATCTTGGCCAGGGATCGTTTCTGATTATAATAGAGAGAATGGTAAGACCACAGATTCTGTTACTACAAGTACCCAAACTGTTGATTCTAGTCACCAAAACATCAATTACACGAAGATAATGTATGAGAGTACTACAGTTCCAAACAACATAAAAGAAATTGCATTAACACCACATGATATCCATATATCATCCCTGAGTTGGGAAGACCTACTTAGTAGTTCCTCATTCCAGCCGAGTACACCATTAGAAAATCTAACAGTCTCTACTGAAAACTTGTCAGTCATCACAACTGAAAAGGAATCGGATTCCGTGTTTCACAGAGTGAAAAATGATTATAATCTCGGTTTGAAAACTCCAGATTCGTCAACAGAAATAACTCGAAACTCCCATACTCTTTGGCCTGGTGGCCAGAGCTTTGAGAACAAAGAAACTACCGATTATATATTGCAACCAGTAACAAAAAGTATAACGCAAGCTCCGACTGTAACATCCTCTGTTTATACTTCAAGCAATTTTAAGGATAGTACTCAAACTTCAGCAGCTGGTAGTTCGTTATTTTATTCACTTGATACTTACTTAACAGACACTTCCACAGAAGTAACACAGTTGTCACAACATGATGTAATAGAAGCAAGTAGCTCTTCTCCAGGACCAGAACATCCAGTTACTACTGTGAAATCGATAAGTTATTCAGATTCTCCAACTAAGATGTTTCTAGAAAGTGCGTTGACGGTACTTTTACCACTCACAACTAGCAGCGAGGAAGAAACTTCTGTTCGCTCAAAAGAAATATTATCTTCATCCATTAAAGAATACCATGTTGACTCATCTGAAACAACTGTACAACATCCTCAGTTCGAGAAGGATGTTAAAAACCAACCATCATATTCTGTAACTCCAAAAATCTTAGTTACAATAACTGAAACCCCATATGTTTTTCACACAAAGCCGTCAGATGTAATATTTCTATCAACTTGGAAAAATAATCCTGTTTCGCACACCACAGAAACCCAGGTTAAAACTGAGACTGAAGAACCAACTCCACTGTATACCAATCTTTATGTGAAACCGAAATCGGATTTATCGTTTCCCTTTCACAAAACATTATATCCATCGAAGAACATTGATGGAAGTCAAGCAAATGAACCTGTAAAGGTTTTACAAACTTCTACAGGTCCTCCGGATACAGAAAAAACTATTCAGTTGTTTAAAACGTCAACAGATTTTCCCAAACCTCTAGCAACAGGGCATCCAGCAGTGCTGTGGGAAAAGCATACTTTATCACCCAATGAGAATACTCAGCGTACATTATCCTCATCTTTACAAAATATTGATAAGCAATTAAATGACCCTCCTTATGGAGGTCCAAATATTATTTTACCCAATATCATCGAAACATTCCAAAAGCCTAAAGTACCAAGAGAAGACACTCCAGAAGAGCCTGTGACAGAACCTCCAATACCATTTGCGGAGCCAGGCCCAGCGTGGAAGAAGGCAAAAATTACTTGGGGTTTAGCCTGGGATGTTCATGTTTATATGATGGGATCGTTGTTTACACTTCTGGCCGTTTACTCATTTGTGAGTGTGTTAAGATTAAAGACATTTGTGAGACTACTTAGTCGCGGATACTTTATGAGTTTGAATATCATGATGTTCTTTATGGGTGTTTCGAGAGCAGTGTACTTGCTTTACGATCCCTATAATTTACAAGGAAAATATCCAGCTGTGTTAGCTTATTTTGTTTTTAACAGTGGATATCCTTTTTTAACTTCAGCATTTTCAATTCTTTTTCTCGCTCTGCTCCAAGCAACGAAAGTAGAACTATTATCTCCAAAAATACAGAAACCAAGCATATTAGCCGGGATCATTATATTTCATTTTTCATTTTCGTTGACAACTGACATCCTTGTTGGTTCATTTGTAAAAGCTGGTATTCTTCTCTTTGTTTGCCAAGTGATGTTTTGCATGTGGTCCTTATTTCTTTCTGTTGGTTACTTTCATATCTTCAGCAAGCTGTACAGAGCAGCGTTAAGAAAGCAGAGTGAAATGATACGAGTCACGTTTACAAAGCTACACATTGATGGTGCCAAACTTCCAAAGAAATTGCCCAGACCGACTTTAGGCTTAGCTGTAAAAGTCACTCTTGTAACAGCCGTATTTGGCCTTATGATGACAGCTTTACAGCTTTATGGCATTATCCGCGTGTACAGTGTGTTTGTAAAAAATAAACCAGAACCCTGGCCTTGGTGGGCCTACCAGCTTGGATGTCGTATTTTAGAACTAGCAATGTGTCTCACAATGTCTTTCATCGCAACTCAACCCATGAGGCACTTCGAATCTAGTGATGGTAAGTGTTGTAATCTTCTATTGTGGTTTCCCTGTAACGTGTTTATTGGATGTTGTTGTAAAGGTGAAGAAATGGATTATGAAGCGTATTCCTATTATTATGCCAATTATCAAGGGATCAGAAATGGTGCTTTTAACAACGCCTCCTTTGATGACCCTAGAAGGTGGGAGCAGGGCAACTCTTTGCCAATAATTCGGACTTTTTCAGTGGAAGCTGATGACACTGTTCCGTTAAAAAGCTTACCAAACAGATCGCGCCCTAATGAAAATAGAACTAATCCTAGTGAAATATGTCTTCTGACTTCTCAGAAAGCAAATCATATCAGTTGTTCAACTAATGATGATTTAAGTAACTCGCTGAAGACCGTTGTTCCTCTAGGAACAATGTCATCTGCCTCAGATAGCAGATTGGCGGGTGATAAACCCCCTTCAATGTTGTATAAAGAAAAAGGTATTATACGTTTCCGCAGAGAGGGAGATCCAGAACAACCAATGGAATTTACTGATCAGGAAGATGGATCTATTGAGGATCTCAGTAATGAGGACAACGAGTCAACCAAAGCCTATGCTGGATCCAGTGTTCACACATTATTCGTTGACAATGTTGAATCAGCACCATTGTCACCTTTCTTTCAGTCAGGATGTCACCCACGTTTTAAACGAATGAGCCGGTGTAGTTTGGAGACAACAGATAACAGTGTGAATCTGTCATCAGAACAACTCAGTAATATGGCGTCCAGAAATGGTCTGTCAGGTAGCGCTTTAGACTTTCACCTGCGAAAATACGGAAGTACTTGCAGTTCTGAAAGCGCTGCCAATAGTTTTGATGTTACTTTTTTCTTGAATCCTCCTTCTGAAGAACAGAATAAAATTGAACACAAACTGGATGAAAATGATGAGAATAAGGATAGAGTTAATGGCTATGATGTGATGCTGCGTAGTTTTTCTCCCCTTGCTGAACGCATCCGTCAACATCAGGAGTTACCGCTTACTTTGAATCTTTCCAACAGGAAGGGCTATCGAGCAGTTCAAGTCAATGTTGCGTGTGGAACCGACGACATAACTCCAGATTCTGCTGTTTATTTGGATCTCCAACTTTCTCAAAATAATAATTGTGAGCAAGAAAATGCACCTTCTGTTGTAGTTTCCAACGTTAAACGAGCGCCATTTAGTCATTCCATGAACGATTTGACCAAATCAAACGCTAACAGCCCAACTTCCGAAACTAACTCAAAGTGTAAGCGAAGTTCAAGAGGTTTCTTGAACAAACTAAAGGGCTCTACATTTTCTCTAAATACTAATATGAATGGATACGAACCTTTAGAATCTGATGAGTGCTCTCCACGAAGGCGTATGTCATCGAAAGGAAGTCGTCCAGAAGGAAAAATTAGAAGAGTTTCTAGTGACAGGAGACCTTTCTCGACTAGTGAATGCTATTACGGCACTAACATTGAATATAAAGATGACGGTAGCTTCGGAGAACTGCATCATGTCGACAGTGGATTGTTGAGAGATTCTCCTGATGTAATTCTTCAAATAGATGAAGCTGCTCAAACTGACCCTCTTGAAGTTCAAGAAGGAATCATGACGATTTGCAGTGAGATCGGGCGACTTGGAAGAAGTCAAGAAATTCTGAGTCCAGGCGTTATGTATTTAACTGATTAATGTGATCACGTGTTTGTAAATATGTCACAAAATCATTATTGCCTCCAAATTGAATTTGTAAACTTATTGTACATAAGGAACGTGCAAAAAAACAAAAACAAAACTGTAGTCTCTAAAATTTGTCACCATGGATCCTGTTTTATAGTTAAATTTCTGTCAATACAACTGCCAAACTGTCACTTTCACTTTGAGTTCATTGTGAAATCGAGCAGTTGGGAGAATAGTAATTTTACTATTTATATTTACGTACATAAAGCATGTAACATTGCTTTCTTTAATTATTTATCAATCAACTGTTCATTTTATCGTTCTTATTTTGCTAACTGTGAATTTTTATAAACTTGAATCAGAGTAAAACACTGACTCGTGTGCAGTGTTAGGGTTAATCGAAACACTAATATAGCTGACACTCGATATTATTATAATTTGGTTGGAAGACTTAGTCTTAATTTATTTTTAATCATGAGTTTATAGATTTAAACTAAAGTCAATAAAATAAAATACATGAGAATAAGTGGTTCAAAAGTCTATTTTCTAGTTCACTATTCTATGTCTGAAACATACTGTAACTGAAAATAAGTACATGTATAAAATGTTGTTACAGTCCTCCCTTGATTGATATTGATGTAACTCCGATTTACGTGTTTGTTTCTTATGCATGGCAAATGTCTACAAGTCACATTTCTTTTATGTTTAGCTTCGATGATCTTGTTACAAAGTGATTTTTTTGTACTTGAAACTTAATTCTTTCTCTATATATTTATATATATTTATGGATGTACTTATAATTTTTAGACTGATATTATTTTGATGTCTTGATTAGTGAAGTTGACATTTTATCGTTTGATTATAGATTTTCTCATAGTTTTTATAGTGCATTAATATGTTCGACTTTTATAATCTGTTGAAAAAGTCGAGTACATCTTAAACTGGAAACGGGTAAGTTAAAGCACATCTAAGGTGTGCATACCTGAATGCAGATTTGTAAAAATTCAGCAGTCGAACGTGGCGCTAGAAACCTAAGATTCTAGTGATTGGGCCGAAAAACAACACTATAAAACAATTTACACGCTTGTTTATCAGTCCTTTGTTTATTTGAGTTTGTTTTTGCCATTTTTTTCGCACGTAACATTCAAAGATTACGTCTGTTTATAAAAGTCCAACATTATGAATCACAAAAAAAGGTGCATTTACTAAAATATGTATTATATTGTTAATGTAACTTTGTCGTTAGCACTAGAATTATTTTCATATAATTATTTTCCAGACTCAAATTTTAGCCCAACCATTAACTTAAATGATATTGTTGCGGATGGGTAACTACACAAAACCGTCAACACACAAACTTCAACGCCAATGTTTATATTGTATCTCACAATAATATTAAGACAGTTATAAGTATTGTGTTTAAATGTTAATATTCATGTGCCAGTCAGAACTAACGAGTCACTCTTTACTATATCTTATTTATAAGCGTGGTTACAAAAAAGCACAAAAATTACAAGGTGATTAATGTCTATTATCTCATTTTTGCCTGACAGCCCTCCGATGGTTAATCGATAAGCGTCAGGACTTCAAACTCTAAAGTCCGAGACTCGATCTCCAAGGCGGGCGAAGCGCAGGTAGCCCAATGTATAGCTTTTCGCTAAAAATAAATAAATTTATCTGGCAGAATTTTTTTAACTCCCATTGAAAGCGTGTCTTCGATCGGAATTACAGGGTGACCGCAATTATTCAATAGATTTTGTATTTGCAATTAATATAAAGTAGACAATGCCCCCCCCCCCTGGATTCACTACAGCGCTTAAACAGAAAACGACGGTGGTGAATTATAGAACTAAGTTAATGTTCTTCAGTGGTATTTGGAATTCTATCTCTTTCTTTTTTTTTATTTTCTCGGACATTCCAAAAGGTACATTTATAACAGATAAAACTAAATATTTACAGTGTGTGCTATGCACTTGTAATGCATATATATGTATGTGTGAACGTGAAAAAGTAAAATTCAAAGATAGTGTGAGTTCTCGTAATAAACTTCTTAAGCACAATTTATTAGTATTCTCACTTTTGGACTCTAAAACTGCCAAATAAAACGTTTGGGTACAATTATAATAAAATAGTAAATGGTATAATCATAAAAACTATTCCACGTACGATAAAAATTATTCCGCAACCGTTATCAAATTATTGTAATGATAATAATAATGTTTATTATTGTATAATAAATTATATTTACTAACTTTCAAAGTATTTTTGAAATAATAATAATAAATTCAATTTTTTTGTATAAAGGATCGCCATTTCGATAACATTAAATAATCAATAGACAGTTAAGATAATTACAGTTTGGTAAACAAAATGTGATGTGACCGAACAGCGTGATTTGAAAAATTGTATTTAAAAAAAATGGTTTAAATTATCAAAAAAGGGCTTCCTTTAAATGTTTTCCACATTTTCAAAGCAAAATTTATATAAAGATTATTTAGAAACTGTCTTTAAGTATTACGTTTGCTATTAAACATTCATTAGTTATTTTATATATTCACCCAAATATCAGTTAAAGTTCAGTAATTTTTATTCTCGCTTTTATATACAACTCATTTGTATTGTCTCCAATTTGACGTTTAATGAAGTCAGTTCTTTACGTCAGCTGTAATGCCAAGATTATTCCTCTTAAAACACAAATGTAATGCAAGTATAATCCACATAATGATGTCTCTGATATCCTACTGTGCTATGGGGATTCAGAGTACAGAAAGCAATAATACTACCGATTAGTTATTCAATCTATAACAGAACGTTGCTGTCGACAAGATTTGATGGTGTTTTTTTACTGGTCTGGTTTTAAACAAAATAAAGTAATTAACAAGTCTCTATTAGTCAATAGTTAGTGGTGTAGAAAACCTCGATAAAAAATATAACCCACTTGAGGAAACAAAAAAGTCTTTAGAGCAGCTTATTGTGACAACCGATTTTTATCATTGGAGTTAAAATATTAATTTCTCTGGAAATAAAATTGAATTCTAGGTTAACATCTACGTATTGTTTTAAAATTTAGAAATATCGTAGTCTCCAATTAAATTTGTCATCCGACGACGTGCATGTTTATCAATATCGGTTGATTTTTAAAAACGTGCTTAGATTTCGTAGTTACAACTGAAACTAATTTATAATTCTCTTAAATTCTCATATTACTGTGAGAAGCCTTCATAGAAAACAGTAAAACTTTGTAGGGATAGCAAATCTTAGAAATAACAGTAGAATGATTCCACATCGACCCCCTTCGATTTAATGTAAATATTACTTTAATAGAAACAAGTTAGCGATTAGTATGATATTTGAATACTTGTTAGCTTAAGGATATCGACTTGAACTGAAATGAATAATCGACTTTAATTTTTGAATTGTTTATAATAACAATTTTAAATCACCAAAATTTTGTATAGACGGAAAAATTAAAATACTGCGCAATTCAAATATTCCTTTGTAGCATGAAATGGCGCAGTATAAGAATCAAGTTGTATCACATACAGTGATGCCATAAAGGTGACGATTACACAGTTTCACAAGTAGCGCCACCTTTAGGAAGCTGGCTCTTTACCAAAGAATAAAAATATAGTCAAATCATTCATATTTCTTTCCATACAATTGTCAGGATATATTGTGTACTGAAATTCGAATAAAATATCGAAGTTTAGCACAAACTTTAAATTAAAACCTTAAAGAATAATCCGCTATCACTTCTTGAAGTATATAATTTTTATGCTGTACCAGGATAAGCTTACAGTGTCAATATATTTATATGAATTCAAAGTGCATGTAAGGCAGCAACTCCAGTGATGTGTGCCAATAACGTTTTGTGTTAGTTGTAGAATATAGAAATTACTATTTGGTCGTGAAAAATATTTGCATTTATTATCATTCACTTTATTTAGAAAAGATGAAGTTAAATCTTTTTAGCATCAACATGTACATTTTGTTGGTCTGCGTAACATTGTATGTTTATTATTGTGAATGATGTACCAGACAATAAAACAGGTCGCAAAATATTGTAGTGTAGAAATAAGGCCAACGTCTAGTGAAAAATGTCTACTATCGTTGAAAATAATAAAAATAAGCACAGTCAGATTGAGTGAAAAAGATTTGTTTTGTGCATGGAACAATTTCAGTTATTTGTGTAATCAGAAAACATTTCTTCAAGACAGCGGTACAGTGCATATGATCAATAAAGTTTCTCATAATTTGCTGTGCAATTTGTTTGGGCCTCGTTAATACACTCAGAAAGAGAAGTGTGATAGATTTAGCAGAAACGGTGAATCTTAAAAATAAAAACCAACAATTTTTAAAATTTATTCATTTTTATTCAGTTCAGTACGGGTATGCTTCAACTTACAAATTTCTTAACGCTTATACTTCTCATTTCTTCTCACGTTTCAATCCAGAATAATTTTAAAAACCAGAAAGCTGTTCCAGATTATAACCATAAATTAAAAAAAGAAGAATATCCTACCCTAATAAAGTAAACAAAAGAGGGTTGTTCCTATGAAATAATGAAGATATAAAATAATTCCTTTTTTATCAAAAACCAATGCTGAATGTCGACACTAATTAACCATAAATTACGGGTTCTTTTTTTATTTATCTCGTATTTCTAAATATAAAATTGCACTTCCATATCCCTACGTGAAAATTTAAATATTGCCACGGTAATATTTCCTTCCGATAGAGGTGGTAAGTTATTGTAAAGTAGTAATTACACGACTGACACAGTACTGTGCAAATCAGAACTGTATTACATCCTTCCCACTAGAGTATTTCTCCTATACAGAAGTTGGCAATTTCTTATAATACTCCGTAAACAAAATAGATATTTCTGATCCCACCAGTAAATTAAGACCCTGTGCCAAACTTCTTTGAATGAGTTATAATAAACGTGTACCTGTTGTTGTTTTTTTTCCATTAAACTATAGTGTAAGCTAATAATGGCTGGAGACGGCTTAAATGGGTAATGAAGAAAAACTTTAATATAAGTTTAACATGACAGCAAATGTACAACGTTTCGACAAGGTTTTGTCATCATCAGGTACCTCTAGGTATACAGATACTCTTCGTAAGACATTATTATTAGGCCTAACTACAACTGTTCTTATATATATGCTTT